CACAGCACTTTCTAACGCAAAGTGTGCCCGCACGACCCCGCTGTCCTTGGCTGTTGGTTGTCTCCATGGTTGTTCCTACAGAGTCACAATACACTTGACCTCTGCCAGTGACTAACACATGTTGCCTGCCACAGGGCTTCTTTTAACTGAAACACCTAGAATATACTTTCTGTTTTGGAGAAGCCAGGCCTGTAGCAGAGAACTTCTTTGCTCCCCCAACTGGTAAAAGGCAAACAGTAAGTATGCTTTTAAACAGGGGGGATACAGTCCAAATACAATAGCACCTCCCTTGCTGTACAAAACCTGGGGATCATTGATTCGAGTTCTGCTGTTCTGATAGATGCCTTCTACCAAGAAATCCCCCAAATATAAACAGTTTCAGTAATACTGAAACATATATGAAAGTGCTAGAAAGGTTTTCCCCCTTTTCGAAAAACCTCCTTTATGACTTGATACCCATGTAATGATTTCAACTCTCAGTAACCAGAATGGATTCTTCTAACTACAGAATAATTTAGAGCTGAGCTTAGCCAAAAGCCAGCAAACAGCTCATAACTACAGCAAGATGTTTCCCCAGCTGAAGTCCCTCACTCTCATTCTCTTACCCTGTGACAAGAAACCAGACATCTAAGGGTCAGGAACTGTCATATTTAGGTTCTTAGTGATAAGGAATTACATGCCATACATTTAAATGAGATGATAGCTTGAATAAAAAATGTTCCCCCAAAAGGGCAGCCAATTTTGTTTTAAAGGCTTCATTAGAACAAGTCTGACCTGCAGAAATACTCAGTTCTTTTAACTGCAATTGAATAAAGGAAAACAAACAGTCAGACATCTCACTGTCAGAGTAGCAGCAGCCAATATGCGCAGACAAAAAAAAAAAAAAAAAAAAAAACAACAATCCAATTCATTATCCTGATGCACTGGGCAGAAATTGTTATTTTTAATTAAGATAAAATTACTAACTTCTGACAATAATCACATCAATCTTTGTTTCACGGGTTTCTCAGTTACATTGCCCACATGTCGGCAATAAATCCAACTAATCAACACATTTATCATTAGAGTTCCAGTTTAACATTTCCACATTCCTGTTTAATCTGTGTCTTTGTAGCATGTTCTCACACATTCTGGTTGCCCCAGCCACAGGCATACCTGAAGACAGCTTCATTTAGTGCCAGAAGTAAAATAACCTCAGCATAAGTGCATAAACACAGGAAACCTGTGACAAAAGTATCCAGTCTGCAGCTCCCAAAAGGGCTGGGACGACTGGCACTCAGACTGCATGTCAGAGATGCTCATGGGCAGCAGGTGGAATTGCCCAGCAGTCGGGAGGTGACATCTGTCTTGAGGCCAGAACAGACGGATTCTGGCCCATGAAGAGAGCCAGGCTGGGCTTAAGCTGCAGAGGACGTGTTGGCCGAGCAGCGAGCCTGAGGTAGAGCAATGACACCCACTTTGGCTCCAGCTCCCTCCAAGAGCTCTTGAGCCTGGTCATTTCAAATTCAGCAACCATCATAGCCGGTGTGGTATAATACAGCTCAGGCTTGCTTGTCCAATCTCCCTAACTGCTTTTCACCGCAAAGCGATTTCTTTTCACCGTGATCAGATAGCTCGCCTAGTCTTTGTACATACACATGCTGTTTGAAGCCTGGCAGTGTCCCTGGTGCCTCAGTTTCTCCAGATGCTCCCACCACAGTGGCCCCTCAGACCCCTAATGACAATGGCTACCACATCTTCTGCACCCCTGACTCCTAGCGCTGCACAAAGCCAGACGGTGCCGTGACTCACATGATTACCAATGGCTTATTTGCAATTATGTAAATAAAATGCACCTGTAATTAGATCAATGAAGTAGTGATATGATACAACGATTATAGTCTTTTCACAGCCGCAGAAATTTTGGGGTGTCATCTTGTAAACTCTTACAGGGCTTACTCCAGCGCTGATGTCAGTGAGAGCTCCGAATTTCTTTTCTCTGAATGCAGTTTAAGATCTTATTGTTACGCTAATGGGACTTTAATTTAATGGCAGCACATATTGTGTAAAACAACATTTAATACGGCATATTTAGTATTACCAGTACTCAAAAACCTGATACTTATACCTGTAGCAAAGCCAAGTAGGACTACTGAGTAAATCTGTAAGTTCTCTACCTATGACTCGATTATCAGCTCCATTTGTAGAAGGATGATTCGTGTAAATGAATGTGACATTTTTCCCATATTTCTCCAAGGTAAGCTCCAGATATAACACTGATAGAGAGACTTTGCTTCTGATTTCTATTTCCCCTTTGTGAAAAACTAAGTGTTATTACCAGCTGTAGTGTCCAGATAAGCTTTTACCAGATCAATGTTCCTCCCAGGAATCCTGGGATCCTGTCTGTATCTCTGCATGTGCATGGTCTGTGCATGAGCTGATCTGAATTTACTATTAATTCCAGATGCTAATGTATAGAACATGATAGATAAATAATTGGCACAAATAGAACACAAAAGGACTTGACTCAGTTCAGCACTACCCATCCTGTGTAGAGGGCACTCTGCAGCAAGGCTGGCTAAGCCACTGCAAAGCCATTAGCCCATCAGCAATTAACCGCTGATCCTGTTTCACCTCTGGCTGCTACATATGCAATATTGCAACTGGACATGCTCATGGGGTATCAGCATTCCCAGGAGAGGGCAAAAGAAGAGAAAGGAGAAAATCCTTTTGACTGAGATAAAGATTCTGATTCTTTGAAGGATTAAAAAATGGGAGAAAGGAGAAAATATTTCTCATGCAAAGTGAAATGTAACAAAGACATAGAGAAATGAGGCTGTAAAAGTTAGCACAGCTTGGTCGACGTGCCATTTTCTCCTCTGAACACAACCAGCAGCTGTACGGTATGTAAGTAGCATGACAGCATCTGACCACAGGGGTTGTTTGTCTGCAAGTTCCAAGCTCAATAGAGACACAGAGAGGCCTCTTAAATTCAGTCATTGGACTTCCTTGGTCTTTGTCTCTCTTGTCTGTCTTGATAAAGTCACAGGATAAGAAAGTCACATGAAATCTGACTTCAAGCGTAGAGCAGAAACTAGGCCCAAAGCCCCAGAGGTATCTGAGGATCCAGCTGACTTGTGAACCCCATGAGAATTAGGCACTCGTATGCGTTTTGAAATCTGTCCAGGGAAAGCAGATCAGCCTGGCCAGATAGAGTGGCTGGGGAGCAGGGTTCGATATCACATCTCCTGGATCCCAAATGACTGACCTCATCCCTAACATTGTAACATTGCTTGATGAGGTTGGTCACCTCAAATTAGGGACATAAACAAAGCAGAGGTGTTTAATGCCACCTTTGCTTCTGTCTTTAACACCAGTGATGGGCCCTGGGACCCCCGGAGCCCTGTGTTGGAAGACTATGACATGGGGGATGATAAAATCACAGAAAATTCTGAACATGTTTTGAGATTTGCCGCTCCAGCTGGATGCACATAAGTCTATGGGGCCCTATGGGATTCATCCCAGGGTACTGAAAGAGCTGGCTGAGTTCAAGGAGTGTCTGGACTGTGCTCTTAGTCATATGATTTAGTTTTAGGTAGTCCTGTGACGAGCACAGAAGAGGACTTGATGATCTTTATGGGTCCCTTCCAACTTGAGATTATGATCCCCTTTCTGCCTCTCAGAAACAAGACAAAGTTCAGCCTGAAACCCCGAGCTAGGAGGTTTCTTTTACCTTTAGAGAGGACCTATTTTTTTGCCCAGTGTCTCTGCTTTGCTAGTCACCTTGGCCCTCCTACTGCAAAGCAGAGGGAACATTTTCCTGCTCTGAAAGAAAGTGAGGAGTTCCTGGAATCCCAAGGAAAAAGAGAAAATAAACTACATTCAACAGTTTATGATTATAAAATTTGCAAGGCAACCATAGGGTTTTTTTTTTGTTAAAGTGAAATATGTTCTCAAGCCAAAACCTAGATGGAAATCCAAACAGCCACATCCTCTCAAGACACATGACTGCATGATACTTAAATCTTCAGTTTCAGCTACAAGAAAGCTTAGTAACTGCCACTCCCTGCTCCTGATCTTGTGTAAAAATGGAAACAAAAGAATCTGTACAGGGCATAAATGCAGCTAACTGGTATCTAACATCACAAATCTTTGGCCCTTTATAAACCTTTTAGTTGGTAATGAAAATGGGATTTTAGTGATAAAACAGCTGCTTCTTTGCAGCATTCCTAAGGGACACCACGTTGCTTAGAGCAGTAGGTATCAAGAAACTGTGTACTATAAGAGAAAAAACAAACAATAACATGTTGACAGTTTTTGTCAAGATCCCCTACAATGACTTAAAACCAAACCAAAACCAAATGACAATACCCTCTTCCTGCTTGTAATGCGGAATATGGAGGTGCTCTGAATGCAGAGTAGTATCACAGACAGGTGTAAAGGAATCCAAAATTTGGAAAAGGCAAACAGGACTGTCAAAACAGCCCAAGTTGCATTCGCTTCAGTAAGCTTTTCTAGCTAACAACTGCAGACCTTACCAGTTTGGGCAGGCAGAGGACATGGTTCGGAGTGGAGCCACTTCTCTGAGGCTGAAGAAATAGGTTGAACAGAAAGGTCTATGGTTCTTCTATGAACTTAGACCCAGGCAAATAGAATATTTTGCCCCTAGGATGGAATAATCCCAGGCAGCTGGCTAGCCAGCCAGCTGGAGAGCGGCTTTGCAAAAATGGATTGAGGCTCCTGGTGGGCAACGGGTCCAGGAGAGAGCAGCCAACTACACACCAGGCTTATGCACAGGAGTGTAAGGAGCAGGTGGAGGGGAGCGACCACTGCCCTTCAGTCAGTTCCTTCCGAGGGCAAAGTAGGCACAGGCTCCAAGCATGGCTGGCTTGTTGGTGGAGATGGTGCCCATATCACCAGGAACAGGATGCTGCTGTGCAAGCTCCCCTCCACGTGGGACACACACTGGGGCAGACCATAAGGAGACCAGCACACAGCTGTAAGTTCCACTTGCAACACCATTAGCAACATTAGCAATTTATTAACCTGTCAGTCAACGCGACTTTCAATTCTGACAACGAAATGTGAGTGCCTAACAGCACCACAGCCTGAATAGAGGCACCTGCTGTGCTGGGGGAAGGCTGGAGCCCAGGGACCCAGGCTCAGCCCTGATGCTCACAACCTCCATGCTTTCTGCTTCAGTTTCCCCTTTTTCCAAGTGGGAATGATGCTGGTGACTTCACCTGTGAGGGTCTGGGAAGGCAGGTGCCACCAGCTGGGGGACAGACCAGTAAGAAAAGTGAGTGAAGCACTCCTCTTTCCCACCTGTCTGGGGGTAGGACAGGTGCCCTTCCCCTCCCAGCAACAGGCTCCAGAGCAGAGAGCACTTCAAAGGCAGTTGCTGGCACCCACTGCACAGATGCCAGCTCATCAGGCATTGTGCAATGCATCCCATCATGATGCTGGGTACAGGGGAGGCCCCAAATCCCACACTCTTGCTACAGACAGCCAACCGGGACAGCACGAGGGGAAGATAAAGGCAGCCTTGTTCTATCCAGGATGAGAAAGTCTGTCTAGATGTGTAACACAACATGGCTTGGCAGCTTTCTCTTCTCAGATCAAACTGGTCTGAAAAGGCACTTCACTCCCTATCCCATGAGGGAGGATATACCTGGAAAAAACCTTTAAAAGTGGATTTTTAGAAGAGGTTCAACAGAAAGCAGAGACTCTGCAGCACCACAGCAGCAGTCCTCCCTGGCAGAGGCAGCAGTCAATGTGTTAAGATCAGCACTGAGATATCCTATGCAGGAAACACCCCTGTGGCCCCAGGCAGCAGCCAGTATCTAGGACAAGTCAGAGGCCATGGCACCTGAAATGGCCCAGGCTCAGGCAGACAAGGCCTCTTGCACGATCTTCCCTGCCCCAGCCGAGGATCCAGATTGCAGTTGCCCAGCCAGAGGGCTGTTGGGGTGCAGCCGGCAGAAACGCCCCAACGTCCAGATGGGGAAGACATTGCGGTACGCAGTGTAACTGATGGCACACGACTTGTTGAATACCCCAGCAATATTCTCCTGAGAGAGAGAGACAGAGAGCAAGACGGTATGGGTGACAGGGGTGTCCAGGATGTGGTGCTGAGCCCACTGCCTTCCTCAAGTCCTGAAGCCCCCCACCAAAAGCCACACGTGGCTTCACTTCCAGGTAAGGGAAAGCACACCGTTGCAGTGGCTTCACAAAGGCCAGGACATCTGCAACACCAGGGAACCCCTTGAAAAGACCAGAGGAAAGATGTACCTGAGGCCAGTCCCCGTTGGGCAGCTGCTTATCAATCAATACTTTGATGCCCCTTTCCAGCACATCAATGTCAGGGTACCTGCAAAGCACAAGGGAGATGTGAGCTCTCTTATCTAAATTGTTTGCAAACCCCCATCCATTGCACTTTGGCAACTCAACCACCTCTGGGCTGCCTCAAGCTTGTCCCAGGCATGCTGAGTGCTTTGGGAAGGCGCCTCACAACCCTCTGGCATCAGATGTTATGAATACAGCAACATTTTCCCAGGCTGGAGGCCTGCAGTGGTGATCCAGACCTTTGCTTTGCACTGGCTCCCCCCTGACCATTGCTATGAGCCTTGCTGGCCTGGGGAGTGCTGAGCAGGCCCCCTTGCAGGAGGCTTGTGACCAGCGAGGTCACAAGCAAACGTGGTTGGGTTCATGGCCCCCACCAGCCAGGCCCAGGGCCCCTGCCAGTCCTGCCACACAACCCAGCCTGCATTTCCCATCTCACAGAGCACTCGGGGCCAGGTGGTGTCTGCAGAGGCGAGGGCTGTGCCTACCTGACAGCCATGAGCCCCAGCAGGGCCCAACACGTGTTGTGGATCTGCGACACGTCACTCTGCACATACGTGCGCTGCTCACACGACTCGAAGTTCTCTCCCCAACCACCATCTGGCATTTGCTTGGAGAGGAGGAACTGGCAGGCCTGGGCCACCTCTCGGCATGCAGCCCTGCAAGGGTGGGGCAGAGAATCAGACAGGGCCAGGGAAAGGGAGCACTGGCACACTCACGTTTCCTAGATGCAAACAGGAGCTGCGCTCTGGCCTGCCCACAGCCAGGGCTGCCCCAAGAGCTCAAGGCACAGACAGCGAGTGCCCAGGTCAGGCACAGGATTTGGGAGGAGCAGCACCCAGGGCAGGAGAGCCCATGTGCAGCCAGGGCATCCGCTCAGCCCCACCATGGAGTCTTGCCCCGGCCCAAGAGGTAGGTAGGGGCAAGGGAACCAGACAGCCCCCTCTCACCCGTCGCGGTAGGTGTGCTGCATACTGGCGAACGCCTCCAGGCCAAACCAGGTGCCGTAGGTGAAACAAACCCCCCAGCTCCTATGAGGAAGGGGAGAGCGATACTGTCAGGGGTGCAAGGCCCAAGGTCGAGGCAGGCCACGACACGGCTGTGTTCACAGCAGGAGCAGAGCTAGGTCTAGAGCTGCAGCCTGCCTTCCCCTGTGGTGCAGCCATGCCCAGTCCCACCAGCACCTGCTCCCAGCTCACCGTGGTGTTAGCAGACACTCTGGGACCAGAGGAGCTGGAGCCACCCTAGCCCCAAGGGTTGTCCAGGTCTTGTGCACTGCACAAGGTGCCTGCTCAGCCTGGGCTGGAAGGAGAGGAAGGGGCAGCAAAGCACAGGAGCTAGAGGATCAGCCTTGCCCTTCCCACAGATCCTGCCAGCCAGGAATGTTTGCCATCATGGTCCCTCTCACACCGGGGCAGCCAAGGGAAAACTCGGCAGCGGGAGCACAGCTTACCCTTCCCATGACCCATCAGCTCGCTGCTGCTTGCGACAGAAGTCCAGGCCCTTCTGCAGAGTCTCCCTGGTCAGAAAAAAGATACCCGCTTCAGAAGCAGCTCAAACTCAGTGGCTGCTTCATCAGGGGCATCCATCAGTCCCTCTGAAGCTTCGATGGGTCCCGTTATTATAGGGCTCGAGAAGCAAGAGCATGTGGACAGGCACCCATGTCATTCAGGATCTCAGTCAAATCATGCACCAGTTGGGTTCTTTTCTGCCTCATGCCAGCAGGCAAACAGAGGACCCAGCCTACAACTGGCTGCAAGATCAAGGCAACTGCTACATCAAGAGGCAGGCAGACCTCCACCAGTTTCCCCCAGCCTGATCCCAAACAGCCTATGTGCCTGCTCCTTGAGAGAGGCTGGGCCCCAGTCTCTTGCAGAGGGCTCTGGTTTGAAGATGTTGCCAGCATCCCAGCTGTGCACACTCCAAGGACCACTGCAGGGGCTATTCCATGACAATGTAGACGTCCAGGCAAGACCCCTGACAAGGCTCAGCAGGGGCTGTGCCAACAGAGGCCGTGGCAGGAAGCACAGGACATTGCAGGTTGTTTTTTTTAGCCCCTACCTGACTCTCATCTCAGTGGCTCACCTGATCTCTGGGGCTCTGTGCTCAGGGAACTTGTTGTGGAAATGTCTCAGTGCCTGCATGACAGCCGACGTGCACTCCACGTAGGTGTAGTCGATCATGATGTCACCTGCCAGCAGGTGAAGGTTATCAATGTCACCCTCCACCGGGAACCCTCTGAGCCACACGCTGCCAACCTCTCCCTTGGACCCAGAGCACACATCCCACAGAGGGACCCGGGGCAAAGCCGGGCACCCACTGGGCACGGTGAGGCCAGTCCACCGTGTTCCCTCACAGCAGACAGGATGACCAGCCCCACACAGCTCCCCTTACCAAACACCTCTGAGGGGTTCAGCAGCTCCAGTAAGTAGCCTCCTCGCTTGGTTTCATACGTGGCAAAGCCTCCATCAGAGTTCCTCATGCTCAGCAACTGCCCAGACAAGCAGAGAGGGGCTGGGACTGGCTCACAGGCAGCACCACCCTAGTCTGGCCCCAAGCCAGGTGTGAGGACAAAGTCAGACCCACAAGTCCATGGGGTTGGTAGACAACCCAGGTCCCAAGCCACACTGAGAGGCAGGCCCAATCCAGACCATCACATTATGTCACATATGTAGCTCCCCATCACAGTAACTATGATGTTGCCATGCCAGGCCACAGGCCTTATACTAGTTTAGTAACACCAGCTCTAACAATTCACCAGGCCTTGACTTCTCTTATTTTAGCTTGGTTTATCTGCCCACATTTCCCTTGGCCCTAATTTTTGCAGCACTTACCACATTCACAGCATCGAAGAGGCGCTCAGTGGGAACAAGACTGGCTAGGAAGGGGCACTTCTCCTGCAGCAGCATAACTGACTTCAGCCCCTCTGCTGTGCAGTCTGCCACGATCCAGCCACAGTCTCGGGTGCTGAAGGGGAAGCCACCCTGGAAAGGGGGTCAGGAGGGCTCAGCAACTTCCCCTGACCTGTTCTGTTCTTGTAAGGGAGGAGGTGCTGCCTCCCATTACCATCCCCTCTGACTAAATCCCAGCCCCATTCATGCATCCTTCAGAGACCAGTTCCGGCCATCATACCTTGTTCATATGGCGATAATACTTCTGGTAGTTGGGTGGGTTCTCTTGGATCTGCAGAAGACAAGAAACAAGTGAAGGCAGGCTGAAGGTGCCTGGCTGCAGGACCATGGGCTGAAATCGTCACAGATGCAGAACTGCGTGGGACTGGGTACCACCTGGCTTCTACTGAGGGAGGCAGACAGGGAAAGAGGTCAGCTCTGGAACAGGAAGCGCTGAAGAGAAATCACATTTTGGCCTGGTTTTAGCAAGTGCTGGTCAAGTCCCCTTTTTGGGTGCTTTCCTGACAGGGAGCCATCTGCTTTCAATACTCTCACTGGCGGTGCCATGAGCAAGATCTATGACTGCATCTGCACCAACCTGTTCGTGAAGGTGATCCCGACCTTGAGCCATTGGCCTGGTCAGCAGAGGCTGAGCTCACGCAGTCACTAGCCAAGGAGCCTGGGTTTCCCAGAAGGGTGCCTTAAACGTGTGGGCACCAGATAGGACGAAGGGCAAAGAAGCCCAAGATCTCAGTTTTCCAGCCTCTCTTAGCCCAAGCAGACGACCCAAATATCCCTGGGCCTGGCCAAGGTCCTCTCCAAACTGGAAACATGGCTCCCAGCAACAGTGAGCAGAAAACAGGAGGCTGTCCCTAGGACTTTGCTAGCCCAGCCCTTAGGAAGAACTCTTCAGAAGGCAAGAAATGCATCCAACAGGGCTCTGAGAAGCAGCCAAGTCTGCACAGCCAGCGTGTGAGAGACACCACCAACTGACTCTACTCACCTGGGTGAACCGGAGGAACTCATGGGCATTTTGGAGGCAGGATGTGAATTCAGGCATCTTCTGGGCTTCTGCCTAGATACAGAGGTACACAGTTAGCAGTCAGCGAGGAGTTGTGGCCACTAAATGTGCCCCTTAAGAAGAAAAGGATGTGCTGGGCCTTGCTGGCCTGCTGATCTAGGTGCCATTAATGCCTGGCTCTTCATATAGCCCTTTCTGCAGGTTTGCATTCGTATTTGGTTTACTGTTTCCATTACAAACCTCTATTAAGAACTGAACCAACAACTGTTACTGGTATCACTGAGAGGTATTTACATGACCAGGTTAGGGTCTTACCAGGGAAATCACACCACCCTCCAAAAAGCATGCCCACCGTAGCTGTCTCTGCCCCAGCCCGGGAAAGCAGGAGACCTGCACACAGTCCCTGCCAAAGAGCAATGCTCTGGGGCCTAGAAGAGCAAGGAGGAAGGGCCAGGGTTTTATCACAACACTGCAGCAACTGGGAAGTCTAACCTGACCCATTCAGCCGGCACTGTAGCCTCCTGCTTCAAAAGCAGCTGGCAAAAATGTGCTGTACCAGCTGTGCTGGGCACCCTGCCTACCATGGCTGAGGTGGGCTCTAAGGTGTGTGCTTGCCTGGCTCAGCCATAGGACGCAATGCCAGAACCGGCACAGCAGAGCTCTGAGGGGATGCACAGTAGTAGCTGCTGGTATTCAGGGACACGCCAGGAGAGAAGCATTTTCCCAGTGCAGCACGTCGTACTGAGCAGTGCATTACCTCCAAGAAGGCTTGGATGGCAAAGGCAGTGTCCCAGAGCTGCGATCCATTTGTGCCCTGGAAGAGAGAAAGTAGACAGTGAGGGGCAGGTGCCGGCAGCAGCCTGACCCAGCTCTGGGAACAGCCTGTCCCACCTGCGTTACCCCCACTAGCTCCCGCCCTCCCTGCTTCTCAGTTTTGTATCACCCAGCATCATGGCTGACGTACTAGCATACAGGGGACAGCAGCTCAGGGACAGCAAGGGAATGGGAAATGAGACAGCTGCTTCAGGCTGCTCTGTGCACAGCCAAGACAAGCGAGGTGGCTAGTGATAAGGAGCAGAGGGTCACAATGGTTATGAGAGAAGCACAGCTCAGCCCACGTTCAGTCTCAGGGGCCTGTCTTTCTCCTTTCCTTCTCCCAGGACACACGGGGATGAAGGGGATGGAGGCCTAGAGCTGCCCCCTTAGCTCACAGCCACAGAGGCAAACTAGCAGGACAGGCACTACTCACTCCTGGCATGGCCAGGGGAAGTGGCAGTGAGACAGACAAGGTCACCAGGCACAAAAGGCGAGATGCCAGGAGGTCAAGCCCAGGGTGAACAAACTATCCCATTATTCCACGGGCTGCCCCAGCACGTCAGGGTCCCGCTCAGTCACAGCTGCACTCCTAGAGCACTTCACCTGCATCTTCATGCCGTCGAGGCCCAGCCTGTGGGAGGAGAGAGCACAGTGCTGCAGCACAAGCACAGCAAGAGTGTCAGGACCTCACTCCACAGAGATCAGAGCCCTACACTGTGCCAGGTGAGCCACGCTCAGCCCTTACCAGAGATAGTCGGGGATCCTGGAAACATGCTCCTGAAAAGCTGGGGAGTTCTTCCCATCCACGAACCAGCGAACCAGCATATTGATCGTCTTGGAAATCTGCCCAAAGCAGCACTGTCACTGCTCCGAATACAGCTTCTTCTAGTTCAGGAGAAACCCTCCCACCCAGCACAAAGCCAGCTAGAGGTGGTCCCAGGCTTGATCCTGAGAGCTCCCTCCGTGGCATCTCTCAGCATAGCTCTGAGTTAGTTAGCATTAAGCTCTTGAGCAAGATCTGGTATCATGGTTACACACCACAATCGCAAAGGGCTGGAGGGCCACAAGCTAGTCCCTAAGGAGCAAAGGGTAAGATTTTTAAAGGACTGACAGCAAGCATCCTACCGGCCCAATGCTGATGCACTTGGTGAATCTGTCATCAGCTTTGATGTGGTCATACAGCTCTGTGATGGCTCGCTGCCGCAGCTGCGTGCTGTGGTGGGCTTCGTACACATTCATGATGGCTACAAGAGAAGAAAGGGACATGCAGTGAAAAACCCACCGCATGCAGCCAGATTCACTTGCTGTGGCAGGCTGCACCACTGCTCACGTGTTGACCAGTCGAAGAAAGCATGGCAACTGCTTTGCCCCAGAGTGGCCCCAGGACCTCAGGGAGGGAAAAGCCCAAGGATCGCATAATCCATGTCTCCATCCCAGCTCCAAGGCATAGCAGAAGACTCTAAAGAGCCCCCATGGTACAAGGCAGCTTCAGTTCCGCCACCACCGGCTCAGGTGGCAAGGGCCCTCCTGCCCCAACAGACACCGCACTCACCATAGGCAACCCCCAGAAGCCAGCTGTGCGGGGTGTACACATCACAGGCAGCCACATTGTTCCTCTGGGCTGGCCAGTCTATGCTGGTGTAGTCTTGCACGTAGAGCTCCTGGCACAAGACAACAAAGGGCATCAGCCTGGCAAGCCGGGAGCAAGCACTCAGAGGCAGCTTACTGCTGGAGGTTGGCCGCACTGCCTGGCCAGAGAGACTGTGCCAGTATGGGAGCTGCCACCTCGTGAGCCAGAGGCTGGCCCACAAGGACAAGGCTGGCACAGCAGGTGGTCAGGGAGCCAGGCACCCTTGTTGGGGAGCCCCACCAGGGTCAGCTCCTTACCTGCCGCAAGCTCCGTATGAGCTCATCCTCTTCTGCTGACAGACGCCTGGCGTAACAGTAGCTCATGGGGAGATAAACCTGGCGGCAGTGACACCAGAGCCGGGATGGGTGGGCTGGGAACCACGTAGGAAGCAGCCTGTTTGCAACAAAGAACGTGCTACTGTGCGGAACAAGGAGGGCCAAGGGCAGCACGGAGAGACAATGTGCTGACATATGGATGCCTGGAGCAGAGCGTGCCTTGCCCTACCCCCTGTACCAGGCCTGCTGCTGCTGGTACAGCTGCAAGAGAAAAGGGAACATCTACACAGCCTTGCCCTGTTCAGATCCTCCACAAGGCTGCTCCCTCCCTACCAGGGCCAGCAGGCACTGCTCCTGGCCCAGATCACACAGGACAGGGAGGATGCCAAGCTCAGAGAGGAGGGAGGGGAGAAGTCAGTTCAGGGGCCCCTCTCTTCCCCACCTGAATTTGAAGGCAGAGGCCCAGACTGATGGTTAAGTGCATTTGATGACAAAGCACCAGCAACCCTTGGTACTGTGCAGCCCCTAATTTCCCCCAGTGGCCCTCTGAGTAATCAGAAAGGGTGCGAGTGAGAGTTAGTGCTGCCAGTCTTACATGTGGCTGTCCTGTCCTGCCAGGGCCCAGTTCTGGCTGGCCACAAAACTAGAAGATACTGGTGGCAAGCAGGGAGCACACAGATGTGCCAGGGACCCCTCGGGTAAAGCTAACAGGGCTGAGCTCTGGCATCTCCCTTCGGCACAATGTTCAGTGCTATCCACCCACGGGCTGGCCTTGCTCTGCTGGTCTCCCAGCTGACAAGCAGCCTGAGCATCCCCAGTTCCAGGTGTTATCTCAGCAAACACCAGTGCCTGGGACAGCTCTGGGTCGAGGCTGGTGGCAGGACAGACAACACCCCCTACCTCCACGTTGAGGGCAGCACATACCACATCTCTGGGAGAAGGGTGTTCATTCCCTCCCAGCTGTAAACGTTCAAGACAGCTAGCCAAAACTTCCCCCAGGAAGGGATTCCCACAGCACCTCCTGCAGAGAGGAATATCGGCTTTCAGGGTTAACACAAACACACCAGCTACTTGCTTCCTTCCCCACTGCAGGGTCCACTTCTCCCCATGTTTGGGAGCATGCCACTCAGGCTGGGACACACGTCCCGAAATAGGGCGAGCAGGCAATCATACAAAAACGTAACACACTTTCCCATCATTAACTGAAAATGCAGGTGCCATCACAGACAAGCAAGAGGAACAGTTCCTCTACTACCTGGCAGCCCCCCGAGTTCCACACAGTCCCCAGGTCTGGCCAGACCTCTCTCACTAGCATAGTAGCCCCGTGGCTGCTGTGCTGGGCACGACAAAGCTGACCTTTGCTGTGCAGGTTGACGCGGGCCCGCACAATGTCAGGGTCGTCTGGTCCAAGCCCCAGGATCCTCAAGGCTATGTAGTTGAGTGCTGTGCCAAACACCGTCGATTTGTCTTCCACATGCCTGTCACACGCATACACAGAGACAGCGTAGCCGTGAGCCAGCTGTTAGCACGAGCGAGAACAACAGCCCGCTGCCCAGGGCTGTCTTTGTCGGGGTGAAGTGGGATGTCAGGGCTGACCCAGCTGACCCTGGGAGAAACACTGCTCTGCACTACCCTGTCACACAGGATGCTCTGGGGTATAGTGGCACAGAGGAGATGCGGCCAGACTTGGTGCTCCAGCCATCTCTGTGACAAAAGGTGTAGCTGGAATGCTACACAAGCAAGCCCGACCACCCACAGGTGCTGAGTCCCACTCCCCAAGCCTGGGCAGATTTGACAGCGGCTCCAAGTGCTGAACCTTCGAGATGCCATCAATAAAAGGTGCCTCTCTGCTACTCACAAGCCCCAGCCTCCATCCGGGAGCTGCACAGAACGCAGGTAACGCACCATCTCTTTCCGGAACCCCTCTGGCAGTTGGATCTTGGCAGTGTGGCAGGTGATGAGGAGACCTGGAAGACGAGACAGGTTGGCTCTTACCCGAAGCCAAAACGCGATGTTTTCACACACACACCCCCCCCCGGGGACGGCGCCCCGCGAAGCCCACCTGGCAGGAGGAAGAGGGGGCCGCCGTAGTCGCCCGCCCAGTGCCCATCCTCGGCTTGCAGGGCGGCGTAGAACCGCATGCCGTTGCGGGCAGCCTCCCGGGCCGTGCCGGCCGCCGGCAAGGGCCGCAGCGTCCTGCCCTGCGGGGAGACAGCGCCTCAGCCCAGGGGTGCCCCTCGGCCCCGGCCCACCCCCCCGCCCCCGGCCCCGTACCGTGTCCAGGCCGAGGCTGTGCTCCTCCAGCGCCGTCTGCGCCCCCCGGTCGCCGCCCGCCTCGCCGCCGCCGTCGCCATCGTCGCCCAGGTAGCGCCAGCGCTGCCGCCCGCCCTCGCAGCGCAGCCGCCACTCGGGCAGCGCCGTGGCCGCCGCCGAGCGCCGCGGACCGCCGCGCCGCCGCACCGCCCTGCCGGAGACGGGCACCGTTACCGACGGGCACCGTTAACCGCGGCCACCCCCCCGCTCCGCGCCGCGCCGCGCCGCGCCGGCACCCACCCGCCGTCCACCGCCATCTCCGCCGGGGCCGGGCCCGCACCGCCCTGGGGCGACATCGCCTCACGGGAAGCAGCCAATGGGGCCGCAGCGCCGGGCCAGCAGCCCCGCCCCCCGCCCCGCCGGGGCGGGCAGCGCCCTCCCGACATGGCGGCGGGGGGGGGGGGGGGGGGTGGTGCTGCCGCAACACCCACTCGCGCGGGGCGGTGGTGGGAACCTGCAGGCGGCTGGCGGGGGGCGTCGCTCAGGAGTCCCCCGCCAGCCGCCACGGGCGCTCAGCGCACTCTTAGTGAAACCAAAGAGCCGCCGGCTTCCCTTTCCCCCGGAGACCCCCTTGCAGGCTGGCGCGCAGACCCGGCGGGGGTGATGCTGGGGGGGGGCCCGGCGGGCAGCCCGGCAGGGAGGGGGGGATCTGGTGGTGCCGGACAAGCGGGTGTTGGATGAAGATGGCGGCACTCCCGACGGGGCGGCTGCTGACGGCGTTCCACGGAACCGGCGGTGGCGGTTCCACCCGAGGACCCGCCTTCACGCGGGTGGCCGTGGGCATGGTTCCGCGGGCATCGTCCAGCGGACCCAGCTGCACAACCAGCTCCGGTGCCCGGCCCCGGGGCGTGCCGTGGTGGTGGTGCTGCTCCTGGCTCCGTGGAGACGCGACACGGCGTCCATCCCCGTGCACGTCCCCCTCCTTGCAGCACCCACTCCCACGGGGATGTCATCACCCTGCCAGCAGCCGAGACATGGCTCCTCTGTCCCACATGTCTGCCCCGGGGCGCAGAGACTGCGCTCGCTTCCCCAGGAGTGCCATCCCCCTCCAGACCCCAACAGCAGCCCCATACCTTTGGGTGACAGTGCTGACCCCAAAAGCCACTCTTCCCACCCCTGTGCACCCCCAAAAGCCCGGGTGTGTGGTTTCCATTGTTAACGGAAACAATAAACCAACTCCAGCCAGGCCTGGGGGCTCAGCCCACGCCCCCACGGGCCACGGGCCATGGGGGGCTGGGGACACCATGTCTCGGTGCAGCGCCAGCCATGGGGACGCTGCGCCCTGCCCCACGGGTGCCCCTGTTCCCACTGCCCTGCCCTGTGCCCCGCCAGGCACTGCTGCCTCAGGGAGCTGCTTTCGCTCACCGAACCTGCAGAAGAGCTCCCAGCAGAGGCGATGCTGGCAGCACCCTCTGAAAGCACCGCCGGCCGTCCTCAGCACAGCTCTCCTGGGGTGGCAGGCACCCGCTAAATACCGGGGCCCTGCCCGGGCGAGGAGGGGCGCGGCGGGTAGGGTGACACCCATAAAGCATTTTGTTATGCTTTACAGGTGGTATAACCGTGGAGCTACAGGAGCGCAGACGTGTGGCACATCCCGTCACAGGCCCAAGGGTTTGCCATCCCTTGTAAAAACACCATCAGAGTTGGGGTGAGGACTGGTGGTTGTTTCACCTCTGGTATCTGGTGATGGGGCGAGTCAGGCGTCCCCACTGTGAACCCTGCCTTGGTGCCTCCAGCATGGGTGCAGTGTCAGGCGTGGGGGTTGTCACCCTCCCTCAGGTGCTGCCATGGGACAGCGGTCCATGAGGAGGTGGCAGAACTCCTCCTGTGCTGTCCTGTCCCAGTGACGTGCTCCCATCTCTGCTAACACCGCCAGTGCTGCCCTGTGTTTGGCAACGCTCCCTTCCCGGGCCAGTGAGCAAGTGGGTTTTAGCCCTTCCAAACCCCTTGACTCAAAAGGGCTCCCTGAATGGAGGTACGAACTCCATCAGGCACACGGGTGGTTGGGAAAGGGGCTAGCACCTTGCTGTGAGCTGGAGAAACCCAACAGGAGTCTGGGGAGGCACATGAGGGGCCAGAGAGCCCCTCAGGGACTGGCAGACACCTGGGGTTGTATTGTTGGCAGGAGCATGCAGCCCAAGGACGTCGGGGACTGCTTTGCAGGAGGCAGGCCGGAGCTGGGCTGCAAAGGGGATTTTGTGGGACAGAAACGTACCTGGCTGGCAAACCCTTCCAACACAGGCTGGGGCCCTGCAGCCACATCCCAGAGCTGTGGGGACTTAAAGTGCACATCCTCAGCACGGATGAATTCCCCCTTCCGTTCCTCCTGCAGACACCATTTTTTTACCATCTGTGTCCCTCCAGTGAAATGTACTGTTTCTGTTGCACGCACTACAAAACCTGCTCTGGGAAGGACGCAGGTGAGCCGGAGATGCTTCACTTGCTGCTATCCTGTGTTGGGAGGGTGGAAGGACTGGGTGAGAATTCAACGCGTACTTGCTTAAAATGTGATGATAAAATTTATTCCTGCTGCCTTTCAGAGCGACCTGGCTTCCTTCCTACTGCAGGGGCAACACCAGATCAAGCTAAGCCAGTGGAAAGTTCAGGTAGAAAAACCCAAATTCATGGCTGCAAATAAAATTCAACCTTAACTCCAAGGCCTTGGAGGCAGGGACCACCTCCGTATCTGTGCACAGCCTGGCACAGCAGTCCCCGGGGGCCTCAGGGAGCAAGGGAGGTGCAAAGATAAAAGAGCTACTCCCAAATGCGGCACCCATCAGCACTCAAGGACAGAAACATGTCTGTGAATTAATATTTATTGTATTCACACACGACAAGTTGAATTTAAAACGCTCCTCCGCTAGGAAATAGCTCTTCACTCATGTTCAGCAATTATCTGGAGAGGATATAGTAATTTTATTTGGGAATTATAGAATTAATTTGGTATTTGCTTTATAAACTACGCTTAGGTCCAACACAGGTTCAGCCCTGGCTGTGCTTAGTAACAGCAGAATTTTGTCTGAACAACTAACAGTGCTGGAGTCCTCCAGGGGGGTGTCATGGCATGAGGATAACATCTTTGACTTGTGCCTCATACCGCTGGTCCTCACTAGAGAGAGCTGTGTTACTTCTCTTGCACAGTTTAAATGGATAAAGGGAACTCGAAGTTCACCGATAGGAGTGTTGTATTTGGGGCTTAATGGCCTGCTGTTTATTTTTGGGTTTAGAAGAAAAATTTGTCATAAAAAATCTGCCTGAGATGAGCTTCATGTAAGTATCACCAATTTTTTGCAGATACTAAAATCTTCAGATAAATTATAGTAATATTTACCTAAAGGCAGTGATGGAAGATGAACCACTTGATTTTATTTTTCTGTCTCTATAGAACCTGCCTGCCTTAGAAATTCCATTTTAGTTACAAAACTTTTAATAAATGCCAAACTCCTGTTACCTGGGCATTACTTTTAGACTTATTTTCATATGTCTGAGGTTTAGACCACAGTTGACAGGGTAACATGCTGTTCTTGTTGTTTGTGGGCACACTGCTTGCCAGAGACATTAGAAGCTGAAAAATGTTCCCCTGAGAAAGGGGTACCATCAGCTCATAAAAGCAAACACCACAACTTCCCCCCTTTTTACTGCAGTCCAGTACAGAAGACTTAGTTCACAAGGTCTTAACTGCCAACTGCTGTTTGTTGTGCCGCTAGTGTAAAAATTGCAAAGGTACTTTAAAGCCATGGGATATCATCTAGCTTGTATTAAAAGGGATCTGATCAAAGGGGTTTTACAAAGCACGGTCTAAATATGGCCACCTTTGCTTTGAGAGAAGATAGACCTGAAATGGTCACTGTTTCAGCAGAAATATTTTAAGCCGAAACATTTAGAAGCATCTAAAAAAACCCCCATGGTTTCCTCTGTCCCTGTTAAGATAATTTGGCTCCATGCAGAAAAAGGTGTGAGCCTTCAGCCCCCCGTTCTACCAGCAAGCCCACTGCTGGGGCTGCTGTCTGTACCAGGGCCCAGAGACACTCCAGATCGATGCTGTAATGCCTTCTCTGGACGCAGGTTTGGTGGAGAACATATTCATGTATCTTTGTAATGAACTTAAAAGTAGCCTCTTGTTGTCTCAGCTGAATTCAGCCCGGAACTGACCTAAGCTCAAGGCCATGTTTCAGACAAGGTAAGAGCATCCCAGTATTTTCAGCTCCAGAGAATTTGTTGCAGTGGCAGCAGCGCTATTTGGTGTTTTCTTAAGGGGTCACAAAAACTGCCAAGATGACAGCATCTAGTGGGCCAGTAGCAAGGCTCAGAGCTGCTCCTCTGCAATGCCAGTGCATGGTTGTGCTGGGAGAACAGTGAGGGAAAAAAGGGACTGGGGGAAATGGCAGTTAGCCAGAGCCCTGAGCCCAGGATTTATGGGATGAAGGTGGATGTAAAGCTACCTTTGCCTGTGGTTCCCAAGAGGGAGGCACCATCTTAACCTTGCAAGTCTGTTCTGTGGGGGCAAAAAAGACCCACTGCTCATCTCCTGAAGCCTGCCCGGCCTCTCCTCATCCTCAGGCAGAGGCAGAGGCAACATTTGCACAGGGCTGGCAGAGACAGTGCAGGGCCCAGCGGGTCCCTCCTGCGGCAGACACAGCCCCTCGGGCCCCCTGGACCCATGGGCAGGGCACTAAATCCGGCCCAGCATTTCCCACCAACACCTTCAACAAGCACCAGCCCGGTTCCCAGATGTGTCCTGGTGTTTCTGCTTCTAGGCATCATTCGAGGCTTCCCATGAGGACCCTAGTTCATCTCTGGCTGCTCTTTTTGTGGGTTCAGAAACGGACACAGTGACTGTGGCACAGAGCTGGGCAACCTGCTCCCTGCAACATGCTCTGTGTGCTGGGACTGCGAGCGCAGCCCTGCGGAGGCAGAAGCAGCTTCTTCCCCCTCCCACCCAAATTCCTCTGCTTTCATTGCTTTTTTCTCCCAGTTCAATGACCACCAGCCTTTGTCTTGTGGTCTGGCAGAGCCTGGTGCCACACACACCAGAGAGACAAAGAAATACACTGGCTTTTCTCCCAGAGCCTGCTATGAAGAGCCCACATTGTGTTTTACTGGGGAGAGGGAGACAGGCATAGGGCTGAAGTGTTTTGCTCAGCCTTGGGCTCTGTAAAACCCTCTGTTTCTTTAAACATATCGGCTCAAAGCTCTGGCGAGGAAGCGATGACCCTGAGGAAAGGAGCCCTGAGGTTACACTCTTCTGTTCAAAGATCAGGACCATGAATTTTAAAATAATGGAAGGAGCTCTTTGGGCAGCACTAAAAGCACAGCCAGCTCTCAGCCCCACACCCATGCCCAGACCTCAGGGACGACCCAGGCCAGGAGAGCAGTGTTTGCTAAGCTATGAGCCCAGACAAGGATCAGGGAAGTTGCCTGGAACCGCTCATTAGCAGAGGCAGGAAAAGGCCAATGTTTCTGGTGTTCACACCTGATCATGCTGCTTCTTCCCGCCCTATCAGCAGATCATTCCAGATCATTACCTGTAAAATACAGAAGTCTGAATGATTTGGGATGAAATGGACAGTACCAATTAGCAGGAAAGAGAATTTCAAGACTGTTCAGGTTTTGATCTGCCAAATGCTAATTTTTCTGTTCTAAGGAAAGGTCACTTTCAAGAATGACATCAGAAAATCGTTTAATGAGGCTGAGCTAGGACCTTGTCTCTGACTAGAAATGGTGTGCTTTGATGCATTTCTTTGCTAATGACTGAGCTAAGAGATCTACCAGACCAAATTGCTATCGATGCTGAAAAATACTGTTTCCCTCCTGCTGACAGAGCGCCCCATTTATAGCCAGCTCTTAAGTGAATACAAATATCCTTGGAAAAAATCGAATATTGCAGGATTGTTGACAAACTATCTCCACGCTAGAAACACCACTGCCTAAAGCGTACCTCCTATCCCTGCCAGTCCAATGAGAGCACAGGTAACTGCTACAGTTTGCGATGCCAAAAATGCGAGAATTTCAGTGGTCAGGTCTATATTTAGAGTCGATATACTCAAGCTTAACTTGGAGGAAACTATTTCCTCCCCCCCCCCCAACCAGTGTTTGAAGCCATTACAAAAGCCTTCAAGAGCTGATGTGAGGACATGATCAATGCGGACAGGCTCCTGTCACACCGGTATGTGAGAAGCTGTTAAGTAACATGGTAGGTGGTGTCTCAGTGATAGCGCCCGTGGTAGCTTTGGGGAACACAGGGACTGCCACGGTCTGTGTCTGCCCAGCAACCCAGTCTCGCCTCTCCTGAGGGGCATTTTTGAAGAGGTCCAGACCATCATACCCCACAGGCATACATATAAAGCTCTTACACCCCTCACATTTCTCCACAGGAGCTGACTGTGGTAATAAAATGATACCTCTGGGCTCTCCATTATGGGTATAGCTAACTTGTCTTCTTGGTAACAGTGGTGGCCTGTTCTGAGTCACACTGAGTCTGAAATTCAACAAAAGCCTGAGACATAAAGCAATTATTGATCCTGTGCTGACACAAAAAAGGTGTAAATGGAAACACGCTGCATCAGCAATAGCAGAGAGTTTCAACTTTGGCTCATCCCTTGGGAAACAGTGTGGCTACGCAGTGAAACACGGTGAAAAACTGCTTTCTTCAGCATGTTCTATGTATTTATCAACCACCCACTTGTACTTTGCCACCAAGAGCAGTCTGGGCGACAGATGCTGCCCGTCTCCCGCTCCCCTCCAGATCCCCCCCTCCCTGCCGGGCTGCCTGCCGCCCCCCCCCCCCCCCAGCATCACCCCCGCCGGGTCTGCGCGCCAGCCTGCAAGGGGGTCTCCGGGGGAAAGGGAAGCCGGCGGCTCTTTGGTTTCACTAAGAGTGCGCTGAGCGCCCGTGGCGGCTGGCGGGGGACTCCTGAGCGACGCCCCCCGCGCGGCGGTGACACGGGCGCCGCGGGTACCTGCAGGTTCCCACCACCGCCCGGGACAGCGGGGTGGTGTGGCACTTACTGGCTGAGTGACAGCCTTGTGACAGCACCTTTATAACCCACAGCCACTTGATGTGGCTTTTTATGGGGGTACAGCAAGGCATGCCCCAGAACCTAGCACTGTTTCCCTGGTAAGCATCAGGGAGGAGCTGCTGCTGCTGCCAGCTCTATCCCTCAACCACTTGCAGCCCAATATAACCGCAGCTCCCCCACAAAGGGTCCCACTGTCCCCCCAGATTGATGAGGTGGCAGAGAAGGTGCAGCCAGACCTGTCTCAAGAGGTGCACAGCGAAGGGTCAGGAGGCCACAGGTACCGGCTGCTGCGATGGACGTCCCTGTCACACGCACAGAAAAACCTCTGCCCAGAGGGTGCTACAGCCCTGGGACAGGGCCCACGGGGGCGGGGGGGGCTCCATCATTCCCACATGCCTTGCCACGGCTGCGGGGTGCCTCGGGGCAGGTGTTGGGGCCCCCGGTCCAGCCCTGGCTCACAGTTCATTGCCTTTACCGTGTAGAAGAGCAGCAGCACAAGCGATGCCGCCAGGCCGGCTCTCCTGCTGACTGCCCAGTTTTTTTTTTTTTTGGTTTGGGTTTTTTTTTTTTTTTTTTTGTTTTTTTCTCACAACAGCAGCTTTCTCCATAACGGCTCCCACGCACGTGGCCGTGGGCTGGCAGCGAGTCAATGCATCCCTGTGTGCATGGCTGCGCAGTGCGGGCCCAGCGCCCGGCTCCGGCCGCCCCCGCCTCCGGCTGCCATTGGCGCTGCGGGCACTGCGGCAGGGCCCGGGACCCCTCCGCCCCTGGCCATAAGAAGCCAGCGAGTCTCTGGGGTGGCCGGCCGCCTTGCATCGCTGTGCCACAGCCCCGCTGCCAGCAGGGAGGTGAGAGGGGCCGGGGGGGATGCCGGGGCAGGCGCTCGGCTGCTTGGGGGGCTTTGGCACAGGGGGCACGATCGCAGCTCTGAGCTTCTGCCGCTGCGGCAGAGGCCGGCGGGGAGCTGAAAGGCTGCTCAGCAGATGTCCCGGGCAGGGCACGGGCACGCGAAGGGCTGTTAGGAGGCATGCATGAAGTGCTTCAGGAATATTTCCTACCTAATCGGGAAGAGTCCTGCGGTTTGGACACCGACTGCTGCCTGGGGGAGGGCATCGGCTTGAGAATCGGGCCATGGGATGGGATTCGGTGCCTTCAGCATCAGGCCTTATAGGGGTGAAACAGGAGCCAGACTGCAGGGCAGGAGACATTTATACACAGAGTATGAATTAACCGAGTGCCAGACTATAAGGCTTTTTTTTTTTTTTTTTTTTTTTCCCCCCCCTCCCCCCCCCGGCTTCATTGCATTCAACAGCTTTTTGGAAGGTGGTTTCACATCTCTCTCTTTTCGATTAGTCTCTTTGGTTTGTCTGTTTGTGAAATCTGCAGGAAATGCTGCAATCCCAATTATTAACATTCCCAAGAGGGTCTCCAGACCAAGCGCGGGAGGAGGGAGGTTAGAGATGTGCTTATTTTATCTCACTGGCACTCATGAAAACTGGTTCCTGCCCGGGTTCCCCTGAATGCTCAGCTGGAGACAGGCCTGCAGGCAAGAAGAGCAGAGGCGAGACTGCCTGTGACAGAGGGGACAGCAAAACCTTTTCTGGAGCTCCATGTGCAAAAATGAAACCCCTGCCCACCCCTCTCCCACACAAGGAGAACAAAGCAATGGGTTAAGCAGCGGGAGCCAAAGAAGAGGCGAAGTTTCAACACGTTACCTGCTAGCCAGGTCTGCATATATGGAAAACACAGGAGCACCTTGCTGGAAGCCATCAGGGCTTTGCAGCCTCTCCTTGTTTTCTCTCCTACGCTTTTACCACACAGACACCTAAGGTGCCAAACTCACATCAGTCCCAGGGGATGTGTCAGCTCCCAACATGCGCCAGCCCTGTACTGGGCATTCCTTGCACTGTGGCTCTCCTCTCCTCGAGAGCTCCTGGAGGTAGAGCCAAGGTCTTGCAGGATCTTCCTCCCTGAAGCGAGAGCTGCTAGTGGTGCATTTCAGCAGCATGTTTTGAATGTGGGGTTTGGCATTGCTGATGTGGGGGGGGGGAGCCCTGGGGTGGCTGTGCTTGCAAAGCAAAAGGCATCGCTGGAGCTTGCCCAGGCTAATGAACCCGCCGCTCCTTCTGACCCCAGGGCCACACTGTGACCATGTCTGAGCTGGAGAAGGCCATGATCGCCATCATTGATGCCTTCCACCAGTACTCAGGGAAGGAGGGAGACAAGCACAAGCTGAAGAAATCAGAACTGAGGGAGCTAATTAACAACGAGTTGACCCATTTCCTTGGCGTAAGTATTGCCCCCTGCACAGCCCCCCCTGGCTGGGCTCAGGGAGCCACGTCAAATTGCTGCCAGGCTCCACTAACTCCATCTCCCATGGGAAGCAAGCACAGGGGAAGGGGTTTACTCACACAATAGTGTGTTAAACGCTCTGCTCCAGCTCTGCAGGAGCTGCAGGTGGCAGGACAAGTGCAACAGCCTGCACTGGGGGCTGGGGTTCAGGTTGGATATTAGGGAAATATCCTTTCCTGGGAAGGGGGGTACAGCCCTGCCCCAAGGTGCTCAAGATGTCCCTTCCGAGTGGCACACCTGTGGCTGCAACTCCTGGTTCAGGAGGGCTGATCCTGTGCTGCTGCTGCAGGCGCAGGGCGGTGACCCAACACAGATGGGAAACAGCCACGAGCTCTGTCTGAATAGAGATGCAGCCATGAGAGCACCCGAGAAGCGGGGACATGTTACCGTCTGGGCCTCACTCTGACCCTCCCCAGCTTTGGCTGCCTGTTTCTATCCCTTCAGGAGATCAAAGACCAGGAGACTGTGGATAAAGTCATGGAGGCACTGGACAGTGATGGGGATGCAGAGTGCGACTTCCAGGAGTTTGTAGCCTTCATTGCGATGGTCACCGCTGCTTGCCATGAGTTCTTCGAGCACGAGTGAGTTGGTGGGAAGCAGGCAAGCACCTCCTGCTCAAGCTGGAGAGACGCAGAGCAGCATTGCTCCTCCAGGAAAAAGACGGTGCAATTAGGGGCTCCTTGGAGTTAAGCTTGTGCTAGACTTAAGCAGCTTATTAAGTTCTGTGTCTTTGTGAATGGCTCAAGAAAGCCCACCTGGCTGGATATGGTGTGGAAACGCCTTGTCCCCAGCTCCTTCACTGCTGCTGTATGCAAGGGACATGCACGGGGCTGGAGGCAGGCAGACGCTGTGATCCAAGACTGCTTGCAAAGAGAAAAGGGAAATTTAAGGTCTTAGGTAGGAGGTGAGGGCAGAGGGGGTGGTTACAGAAGTCTGGTTCTGAGCCCACTGGCCTGAACAGAAAGGCTCCTGTTGATTCCTGTGGGCTCTGACCACCCTGTGCATGGTACTAACCCAGGCAGCACGGTCCCTTGCCCAGTCACAGGGGCTTAGCAGAGCCCACGCATTTCTTGGCAAATTGGGACACCCTTGGCTTGAAAGGCGAAGCATAACAATCTAACAGCTCAGGCTTTTCTCGTCCATGAGTCCTCTTGCTTTTAACATCCTGCAGAATGGGAAGTGAGTCTCTGAGGCTCCCCGGGCTGGGGACAGCTTCCTGGCCTGGGATGTGCCTTGGTAGGGCCTCCAGGCTCAGCCAGAAGGGAAGGGGGGGATCCGCCCAGTGCGACCGCAGTGCTTTGACACAGGCCAGGCACAGCCTCCAGTGTGTGGAAATAGTGAGAATAAAATGGTATTTTGGTCTCTGGGCTGCAATCGGTCTCCGGTGAAAAATGTGTCCTTTTGTCCCAGGCTGCGTGCTGCTCCCCAGCTGCCCTGCGCTGTCAGAGGGGAAGGCTGGAGGATGCAGCCTGATGCACTGCTACGGCTCATGCCTCTGGGTTTTTTGTTGGGCACTGACCCTTCATCTCCTCCCTGGCATCACTGTGCCTGGCCCAACAGCTCTAGGCTGTCGCCACTGCCGTGCTCCAGCTGGCTGGCCAAGGTGGCAGATGTATACCCGCGGGGCCAGGGGAGTGCAGTGGACCTCCACGGGACTGCTGCTGTTCAGGATGTGTCTGCTGCTGCCAGGCTCATCCAGGGGCTCGCACTGGTGAGCCTTTGCACAGCCAAAACTAAACCTAGGACAATTTTCCCAAAGCTTTTTCAGTCTGCAGTTGGCACCCTGCTCAGCAATACCTGTGTGCTAGGTGTTCACAGCTAGCAACATCTATAGTGACAAATTCACAACAAAAATGCCCATTGGTGATGATGATGATGATGTTGGTTTTACCTCATTCCACATTTCATAATGATTTCACAGGCAAAATTACATGTCTTTGGACAGGGACCATCTTGCTATTCTCATCTGCCTCCCCCAAGCTGTGAAAGGGGACACTCAGGCAGAGACATGCACACAAGAAAGACAACATCTTGTACTCCACCTAGAATTAAAAAAGCATTTTTGCCATCCCAGGGTAGTGCTCACTTACTGAGAACTTGTTTAGCATCCAAGTTACTTCCACCACATTTTTCATATCCTCATCAGTTCTCAGTTCAGCTGTTTCCAACATTTGTACAGACCTGAGGCAGAGTGTGAGGACAATGAACGGGGACACGGTCTGTCCCAGAGTGCCCAAGGTTAGGTAGGGTAGACAGGACTCTCATGACCCTCTCTCTAGCCTGAACCTGAGTTCAGCAGGGAGGTCCGATGCTTTAGCACAAGGCTCTGCTGCTGAGGCTGTCTGACAGGTCCCCAAGTCCCACCTGCCTTCGGCCTCACTGCACCAGCAGCGCTCACACGGATGAGGAATGCTTTCCCAAGCGCAAGCCTTGCCAGCGGTTCTGCACAGCACTGCAGCAGCAGCAGCAGCAGCAGCAGCAGCAGCGAGCTGTGGGTGCACCACACAGCGTGAGCGCCGGCAGAGCTGGTGAGACGCGGAGCAGGCTGTCCTGTCCCTTGGGGAGCACCGAGAGCAGGAGCAGGGAGCGACACAGGATGACTGTGCACGTCTCTGGCAGGAAGGCTGATCCTGACTCAGCAACTCCACTGCTGGGAGTTCACAGAGGCTTTACCTAGCACAGGAGAAGGCGCAGTAGATTTGGGTGCCTCTTGTCAGGGAGGAAGAGAGCGCGTCTTCCTCTGAGGTGAGCACCCCTAATGCCAGCGGTGCAGTTTGCGGTGCCCAGGCTACTGAGCCCCAGATGCTCCTCCCCAGTCAGCAAAGAAAGCAGAGCTTTCCTGAAACGAAAGTCCTGCAACAGCGACTGCATGGTCACAGGCCCCAGCCCCACGCAGCCTGCGCTGAAGCTCTGCTCCCGTTGCGTCCTGCTGCTCTTTGACAGAGCCGAGCGCAGGGGCTGCAGGGACAGCCGCACGCTGCTGCAGCGGGGGAGGCAGGCCGGCAGTTTAGGCAACACCGGCCCGAGTGTAGCACGAGGTACCTCTGCTGACACACACCTCATCACTGCCAATCCCTCCTGCGTGTTGCCGCCTCGCAGGCACAGCCACAGCACCTCTACCAGCACCCTGGGGCCCCACGGACCGTGCCAACCCCCTGCGTCCAGCCGAGAAAAACGATGCTGCCATGCCAACAAAGGGCACGATTAGTGCTGTGAAGGGCTCAGAAGCGTGTGGGGAGCCTTTCTGGGGAAAAAAAAAAAGAAAATCACTCGAGCCTTGGGGCTGATCAAGGAGCAGGTGTCAGAGATTTGCAAAGCAGACATCACAGCAAGCTCTGAAGGAGGCTCAAAAGGCTTAAGCAACTCACCCCCCATCAACAACAGGCTAGATACTTAAAAGTGCCAGTCCTGACACCGCTGGTTTTCAGGCTCTGGCAGGAATAGTTCAGTCTTCAGGAGGGGAAGCCGACAGGCTAATGACATTAGTAAATATTTAATTTTTAGTTATGCCCCCATCCCAGCCAGAAGAATCAGCCTGCTGGATACCCCTGGGAGGCCCCTCGAGGATGAACAGCAGCATTACACTAGCAGCGCCTACCTTATGCTTGGGCACATTTATCATTTATGCTTTTACCCTTAAGAAAAGGATGGAATTGAATTTGCCATTAGGAAGGGCACAGATGGATGGTTTCCTATATTAAATGCCCTGTCAAGACAAGAACTATTTATCAACAGTACTAACAGTGAAACGAAGAGAAGAAAGCGTACCAACAGGAGGAGTCCGAGATGTTGAACAGATTCAAATTAACTTCAGAAACTAGAAGAGTGACAGATGGGGTCAGATTTAGTACATACATGCTGTACTGTACCTCTGCTGATTTACATTTTCACAATCTAAAAGGCTGCCATTACTTTTTGCTCTGGGAGATTTGAATCTGCACTCTCTGACCAGATTATTTTAGGCGAAGTGCATCTGTGAAAGGGAACCCTCTCTCTGGATCAGACACAAAATTACCAGCACCGGAAGAGCACTTACAGACCCCCACACAAACGTTCTTCCACATAGGGTGTAATTTTACTGGGAGTGCTGATTAGTGCTGTTAGCACATCTGAAAAAAATATTCTTCATCTTGTTAACTGTCGATGGGAGTGCATTCAGGCCGAATCATTCAATAGCAGAGTTCATGTGCTGACAGCAAGAAAAATAATTTATCTTAAAAAGAAAACCAAAATATGATTTTTTCACAAATCAAGTGCAGACTTTTACAGACCCCACAGAAGAAACATCCCTGACCTTGTTGGACGGAGAAAAGCAATTGCATAAACAAAGCACTGTGCCGCTGGGCCATGTCTCCCACGTGTTCAGAACTCCACGCTGCGAGCTGTGACAGCCCCAAGAGGTGCTCCTCCAGCCTGGTAGTCTAATGACACGGAAGCACATTCCTGCTCCCTCTGTACATTAAGCTGAAAAATACACTTCAAAGGGAAGTGGCGGCATTTATGTGAGTGATCCGCAGATTGTATTTTTTTTCCCCTACCCTACTATTAAATCTAAAGGACTTGCCTGGCCTTACTGTACTGCAACAGTCAGGGCATTAGAGCATATTTTCAGTTTTTCCATTCTGAAATATTCTCAACACTCAATTTTACTGTACAAGGTCTGACTTCATCCTGCATCCCAAACAGCGTGGACTTCCGATTGCAGGGGGAAGGCAGCTGAGAGAGCAGGAAACTAGAAGAGCAAAATGGGAAGCTTGTTAAACAAAACAAAAGAAAACACCTCCAAAACTATTAAGGAGCAACATAAACCTGATCTTTAAGAGGCCACTTTTATATTTTCTTGCCACTGAAATTTTGATCCTGCACGCAGGCATGCCACGTTACAAGTACGGACACAACCACCGTGGCAGTGTTGCCCGTGTTTGGCAGAGAAAAATGCCAGAAATAAAGACAAAATGTTATTTTGCCATTACCTTTGCAAGCTAAGTTTTAAGGAATGCTAGAAAATCAGCAAATGCTTTTCACTTCCATGAGAAAACTTTTATGTTTAGGTGAGAACAGGATTAAAAAAAAAAAAAAAAAGTGACTGGAGGAAAAGACAGTGGTGTGTATTATTTTAATAACATGTATTGAAATACAAAACCAGATAGAGCTCTGCTTATATGGCACTGATATAACCGACCTGGAGATAAAACCCAGTGTGTCTAGCTCCTCCTAAACAACACGATTGGTCACAAAACAAAATCTAAAGACTGTAGTGAAAATTTATGTTAGAATTCCTCATGACAAGAAACTCTGGCTTAGAAACATCTCATTTGAAATATCTGAACATGTAAATATTTAAAGTATATTAACCAGCTGAATATAAACATCAGTTCAACAATAAGAGTACCTTAATATACCCAGCATCAGGTAAATCCCGAAGTGCAAAAAGTTTGAGAATTATTTAATGGAGTTTCGTAAACTGTAAAATAGTTCATAGATGTAATCCAGCTCTATTATCTACTAACATGATTTCTGGCCTGACACACTGCAATACTTTAAACGTGCAAGCTTTCGGAAAATTCCTTTTTAGGCCTTAAAACAAAGTTGTGACTATGCTATAGGAACCGAAGCCTATTCAAAAAGATCCTTAAAGTGCATAATACGTGTTTTCACACAATGGCAAGGAAATAGGATTCAAAAAATCAGGGACTTGGTACAAAAAATTAGGAATGTGCTCTTAAAAAATGAACTCACTGCTTCCTTTTCGCCGCTGTAATAAAATCCTGGGTAACAATACACGGTAACTAAATGTGTAAAGTAGCCTTGTAGTACTGTGGCTAGAATAACACAAAGCTTATAAAAAGTCAGTACAAAGTGCTGGCTCACGAAGAACACTGCTGCAGTAAAGGCAGTTTTATGAACGTTTATGAAGTTATTTAGTACTCACTGGTGTCTGACCTCACACCCCTGAACAAATCTGAAACATTCCGCTTCCACAGCAACATGCGTGGTGACTGGCCGGCAAACCACCTAAGATTTGTTCATTCAGGAGGAGACGGGGCTTAGAATTCCCTCGTTACTACCCTTTACATTCCCAAATGGTAAGGTAAAAAAAAATTCTTGTACCTTTACTACAAGCTGGGATTTCAGGTGTCAAACTCAATCAATTTAAGATGAAATTACAGATTTCTGACAACCTGTCTTCATTAGTTTTGAGAAAGGCAAGTTAAGTTGCTTTGGCAATAAAACCTACCATGCTTTAAATGCACTTAATACACAGCATTATCTGCATGCTAAGTACAACACCTTGTTGTAATTAACAGCGAGAAAACAGAAAAGGCTTAAAGATACTATCGCTATATACAGTGCTTTTAAAAATGCATCACGTTTTGCAGGATAAATTCCTACTTGTTTCCTAAATCCACTGCTGGTACAAATCTGTTTTCTGTAAGTGCACCACCTCTCTTGCCTCTTCAACAAAAACTTTGCCTCCACTTAAGAGGCTACAACTTAATTTATTTCCCCATTCAAAGAAGCATCCTTCTTTCAATCTGGGTAAATGCAGGTGCTTTGGTCCGGAACCCCTGGAAGTCTGTGTTAGAAAATGCTGCTGACATGGAACAAAACCACCCAGGCCCACGAAGTGGGGTGGGATCCCCCTGTAACCAGCCAGTGTTCCACACACCGTCCCGACTGCGGAAGCCTCAGTAGACTTTTTACATATCTGCTGCGCCCCAGAGAAGCGCTTGCATTGAACCTTGCGTCAGAGAAAGAATTCCATTTGGAAACACTCTCTGCAGCAACGCTGGTGCAGCATGTCATTTTCTTTTGGTAAAAATTAAACCAGACACTCTACCTCCCAAAAGCCATGTTGCGGAGGGCCAGGAATGGTTCTTATTTTAGTGACTTTTACAGCCTTTCCACCTGCTGCCGCTTTGGGTCAGCCTGGTGAGGTTGCTCGAGGAGGTCATCTCAGTGTTGCTCCTTCTGCTCCTGCTTTTTCTTTTCGGCTAGTGCTTTTGCCCTGGTGGTCATTGGCCTGCGCCTAGCATCAGGTCCCTCCTCGTCCTGCTGGTGCTTTTTACAGTGTTTTTCAAAGGTAGAAATCTTGGCGTACGTCCGGTTGCAAACCAAACAATGGTACGGCCGTTCCCCGCTGTGTGTCCTCATGTGAAGCTGGAGGTAGGACGACCTGGAAAAGGCTCGGCCGCAGACGGAGCAGCAGTGAGGTTCGCGTGCCTCATGGGTCTTCAGGTGCTGCTTGAGGGACGACGCTTGCTTGAAGGCCTTCCCGCAGGTGGAGCACTTGAAGTTCCTCTCGCCCGACTCCAGCAGCTGGTGGGACACGAGGTGGGCAGAGGAGCGGAACCTCTTCCCGCACTTCTCGCAGTGGTAGGGCCGCTCCCCGGTGTGCAGGCGGATGTGAAGCACCAGCCCGGCCTTCTGGGTGAACGCCTTCTCGCACTGCGAGCACTTGAAGGGCCTCTCGCCCGTGTGCACGCGGCGGTGGGTGGCGAGGTGCGAGGCGCGCCCGAAGAGCTTCCCGCAGTCCTCGCACTTGAAGGGCCGCTCGCCAGTGTGGATGGCCTTGTGGCGCGCCAGGTGGGAGGACTGGAGGAAAAGCTTCCCGCAGACGGGGCACTGGTACTTGCGCTCGCCCGTGTGGGAGCGCAGGTGGAGGGCCAGGTGCGAGGAGGAGATGAAGGCCTTGCCGCAGAGCGGGCAGCCGTGGGGCCGCTCCCCGGTGTGGGTGCGCTTGTGGAGGACCAGCCCCGAGGAGAGGGCGAAGGCCTTGGCGCACACAGGGCAGCGGTACGGCTTTTCCCCGGTGTGCACCCGGCGGTGCTTGGCCAGGGCGCCGGCCTGCGCGAACGCCTTCCCGCACTGCTCGCACCCGTGGGGCCGCTCCGCCTCGGCGGCGGTGGCCAAGCCCCGCCCGCCGCCCGCCCGGCGGCTCGGCCCGCCCGGCCGCCTCGCCGGCACCATGGCGGCGGGACACCCCCCCCCCCGGAAGCGGCGGGGCGGGCCCGGCGCCGCCGGCGCGCCCTGGTGACGCGACGGCCGCCGCCATCTTGTCGCTTGGCCCCCCCCCCCCCCCCCGCCCCCTCAGCGTGCGGCGGTCGTGGGTGGGGAGGGCCCACACGCGGGGCGGGGCAGGGAGGTGTGCCAGATCCCGGAGTGCAAGTTGGATATTAAAAACGATGAAATTCGGGCACGGCACGGCTTTGAGGACGTGGAATTGCAAAGTGAAAATATGCAGAAAAAGCGCTTCCGGCATTAATACGTCCAAAACGGGTGAAAACTGTGCTGCAGATAAGCTGAGTTTCTGATCTAACAGCCTAAGTGTCAACATCCAGCAAGTCAGATTTTCAACAGCTGTTTTGAAATGTTTAATGTGCTTTTTTTTTTTTTTTTTTTTTTTTTTTTAGATTTACTTTACAAGGCAACTTGTCTCACTGTCATCAATATCTAAATACAAAAATCTTACAATGCTTTATTTGCTAAAAAACTACAACATTAAAATTGGGGTTAGGTAGCTCTTTCCTTGTGCCAGCTGTTTTGTTATGAGGCATTTCCCACAGTCCACTGCTAGAGATTGAGGGACTTAATAAGTTACACAAGTTCTGTACATAATTACAGTCATAGCAGAGTACGCAGCTGTATGATACACCACAGTCAAACACCACGAGGGTAAAGAACTACTATACGTGAAAGCTTTTTTTTTGAAGACTTTATAGTTTATTTGACCAAGAGTCAATTTGATATCCTCATATCAGGAGACTGACATCCATCTTTCTTAGGCACTGATCCAGGCAGAATTGCCTTGCAGAAAAACCTGGCTCTTTTGCCAAACTCATGCAGTATTAAAAAAATTTTCTGTAGCTCAAAGTCTTTAACAACTCTATAAAAAATAATTATTTGCTAGTCTCGTGCTTACCTTCAAATACATGAAGTATTTGAGTAACTTCACATTCTCTTTCTGCATTAGGTTTACTGCAGTATTAGATCAGGCAGAAACTTCAAAACCTTAATTAGTCAAGTGTGACTCAACCAACTGGATATTTCAGTTTGAACAAAAAAGTCTGTTTCAATACAACTCTAAAAAAAAAAAAAGTTTTTACCACAGCAGATCAAGCTAACTAACACTGAGTATCTTTTCCATGGTGGAAAAAAAAAAAAAAATCACTATCGTAAGTTTTAGCACAGGATATTTAAGAAAAACATTGTAAGACCATGCTTTGTAAACATTTCTACAAATCATTCAGAGACTATTGGCTTTAGAATGAATTTTCAAATACTTGGCGTTATGCAGGGCAGTAATTAACAGCTAATGCTATGAAAACAAGCAACTTTAATATGAAGTTACGACAGCAGGAGCAGTGAAGGCTCCTGCATGAAGTAGTTAAAACTGGGTATTAATTTATATTTTATTATAAAGTTTATAGCATTACAGAGTCCAGCATGGCATGGTAAGTAACCTTGTTACAGTTGCAGTATTTGTTTTTGCTTGGTACAAAAAAAGCTGAACAACAACATAATTGTTCTTATATTGAATCTGGGACTAGAATGAATTTACTGCTTCTGAATAGGGATGAGTCAGTGATTTAAAATAAAAAGGCTGCATTTTTAAATCTCAAATATGTGCAAAATTACTTTCAGTACAGTAGAGAATATTGTAGAGATGTGTGCAGTCCTGAAAGTTATGTCCCAGCCCAGATACTGCCAATATATTGCAAACAATCACATGGAGGGTGAACTCTGGTTACTCACGACTTTCAGTATTATTTCCAAGAGTCCTCCTCACAGTTGGTGTTCTCTCCCCACTCTGCTTTATGTCCTTTTATGCAGTGCATCAAGTACTGACATTCATAATTATTGTAAAAAAACACTGGTCCATGATAGTTCTGATAAGCTTCCTTCAGGAATTCCAGTAAACTCTCCATCCTAAAACAGCTATAACTGTTACAATGGATTTATGAAATCAAACGCAATCTGAGAGATGAAGGTCTGTGAAGATTAGTATCTCCATTTTTCTAAGGTCTTCAACAGCTTTTAAAAACACAGAAAATGGATTCCCATGTTATTATTTGGAAAGTCCCTTGGTTTTGGTGCTTTAGCCTGAATGTGATTTTCTGTTTTCACATGTTGTAGGCAACATAAATAGGATCCAACTGGTCAGCTAGAAATCCGTCTCTCAAGTGCATTCGTTGTTTCTCACCACGGGAATTGATAGGAATAACACCGGGGTCCACAATGACTACAACACCTACTATCAGATAATGCTCTTCCAGAACCACATTTGTTACCAGTGCGACCAGGTCCAACGCTTCTTGTTCTGAGCCTTCCAACTCAACAACTACCACAAGCAAGTTGGTCCATGTAAACACAGCACTGTCGGCATGATACAAATATTAATGGTGAGGAAAAAATTGGCAAAGGAAGCTAGTTATCAAAGACAGACTCACTGGAAATTAATTTTGTAAGGACTTGAATATAAGAAATGAGAACAAGGGACATAGTATGTCAAAATATTCGTAAATCAAGAGGTATTAAAGCTGTAACTTCTTGGGATATTGTCTGCCGCTTGTTTTTTAATTGTTCACGTACAAAATATAAGCAGGTCTTTTTATCTTATATGTATGCATTCATGTATTTAAAAGGCCTTTGCACTTATGTATTAAAATGGGAAACATTAAGATTTCACATTCAGTGTGTGCATACTTAATATTAATGTACTTGCGTAAATCTTCTGGGATTCTTAAAAGAAAGAAAAAACCTCCCAAAGCTTACATGTAAACACCTCCACTTTGAGACTGAAGGGGACCTACTGCCAAATGGCATACATCATCCATTAGGACCAAATGAGAATAATGGATGTTAGAAGACAACATTCAAGAAATCCCTGAGATGTGTTTACCACGTCCAAGTGCGTACATTCTGACGCAGCCAGGGAAGTCAACAATGCAACTTGCAAGCACACTGCTGCCCTATTCATGCCCTGCCCTCCCTGTCTTCCATACTATGAATGTCAAACTCTGATAAAGGTGTGGGCTTTTTTTTTTTTTTTTTTCCAGCAGACAGAGGAGAAAGAGGGGTGTTATATTTCAGTTACTCTCACTGCAGCAGTTTCTAAGCAAAGTTTTGCCAAGTTCACTCTACAGCAAGCTCTTGGTCTAGCATGCCGTTCCACTGAGCTTGACTTCTGCTACTTTAGAAGAAATAATAGGATACAGAAAAGTAATACCGAGGCTCTTACCATTCTGCAATGCTCTTATGTGCTCTTATTACAGATGTCTCTATATCAATGGGATGGTACCTCATTCCTCTGAGCTCCAGTGTTTCATCCAAAGAGCCTACCACATAAAGGGCATCATGCCTCTCTGCAATATAGCACAGACATTTAAAACATCATCAGATTTACAGAACAAACATGGTCATTTGTATGTGCTTATTCCTGACGTTCTAAGATGTTCCTCGTGCTTCCTAGAAGAAAGAGTCTGTAATACACATCAAGCTCTACTATTTGGAGAGAAGAGAATTATGAGGCCATGTAGCACTGCTGCCTATTGACTCAAAGCAAATGAAACCAGACTAAGAGCTTCTGGGTCATCCCGTTCTGCACCTTTCTCTCACATAATGCAATCTCAGTTCATAAACCCAATCAAAATCCATTGTTAAAGCATCTTTTTGTCCCACCAGAGAACCTCTCTCCTCTGATTGACAGGAACACTTCAATTCCCAAATTTAACTTTTTTCTTTTTAAAATGAGCTTATACCCACTTGTCCTCATGCCAGCAATATTCTTCACGGTTTCTTCAATTCCCCTGTTAATGCAGTGAGAACAACTCTATCCTCCCCTCAGCCTTAGCTTTGCTAGGTTAAATAAGCAAAGCCCTCCTAGACCCTTCTTGAAGGACATGCTCTCCACATGGACACATTCCTCCTGTAACTCTGTTCAGTTCAGCTTTGCTTTTTTTTGAGCAGAAGTAGGAACACTGCTTTTCTGTCTTGCATTGTGAGTTGATTACAGGAAATGTAAAAGGTGTCTGTGAACACCCTACACTTCATTATCCAGTGACAGCAATGAGGGGACACTGAAACTATCAATGTAGATACCGCCATTCATTTAAGTCCAATTACAGACAATTAGCAATATACATTTGCTAGTAAGTTATAAGCATTCAAACTAATTGTTTTAGGATGTCTAGAGATTACTTTTTTTTAAAAAAATATGTAATAATCAAGAGTTATACCTACCCCATATTCTGTTTCAACAGAAAAAGGAGCAGTTTTTTTTCCATTTGCTTACATTTCTCAAGTTTAGACATCTTGGCTTCGATTGAAAAAGTGAGATAAACAATTTATTTTCTATACTGGAAAAATTATGGAGAAGTTACTCCTCTAGACCTTTAACTTCTGAAAGACTGGGAAAACACTGCTATTTGTGCATGTCCTAAAACTGCTGGGTGACAACATTATTTGTATTCTCTAGATCAGCACCGAAATACCTTACATTTTCCTTACAGCACCCTCCTGTCTGTAAGGAAAGAAGTTCAGAGGAAAAGTGAGTAAAAGTCTCTAGTGCTTCTAACAAATATGCTCATACTATTTTGTCTAAGTGGAAAAAAAGGAATATGAACAGGATTTCTAAATCTGTCAAAAGGGCATTATGAATGTCTCATTTGGCATGATTAGCCATTATCATTATAACGAATAAGTACAAAGTAACAATCCCTGTTACATTCAGCACTTTTCTCTGATGGAAGTCAGGATAAACTTGCAGAACGGCTTACTCTTTGCTAGCTCAACTGCCCCAAGGAGTTTCAAACATGCTTCTGTAAGTACATTTGTTTTCTCTCACCTCCACTAGCATCAGTAAGTTCTGTTCTGCGCAGAAAGCCAAGGTACCCAGTCCGAGCCCATATGGTCTGAGTGTCTCCAAAACTCAAGCGAGCAGTAAAGTGATCAGCGTGCAGTGCTTCTTCTCCATACACTG